CTTGCCAAATGTGAGGAAAGATTCTTCCTATTATTCTTCCGCATCCATTCACAGTGTACACAGATAATGTAGTGAGATATTTATTGGTTGTCCCACACACAAAGCCAACCACGATTTGGCAGATCTTCATTTATTTCAACATTTGGAGAATTAGCTGGATTAGTTTCTATAAAACGGCAACCATATTGGTCAGTCTTACGAGTTTGCTCCTAATTTCACTTTCAATTCCTCTACCAGAAGTCCACCGAATTCGTCAATTTTAAGCTCACTTACTTTGATTTCTGGGAAAGATATCGAAAAAATTTTAATTATTTAATTATTGATAACAAAATCATCATTATTCTTGCGCTTGAAAATTTCTCATATTTTTAACAGGAATCGAGATAACTGAGTTCAAAACTGACGGTTAGGTTGAGTTTCTATCATAGGAAATACGGTATTTTAAATAAAACTTATCTAGGCTATGTTCGTTTTTTTCTTCATTTTCCTTAATTGAACTGTGCATCCCTGATCTTTTATTTCTCTTCAAACGCATTCCAAATCACTCAAGATTAATTTTTCAGGACATGACGGGGTGAATTATCCAACTCCATCCAATATTTCTCCACCGACTCTGTCCGAAGAAGAACTATCAGACTACTTAAATGGCTTCGCGTTACTGGGGTGACGAAAAGCACCCGGACGCAATCTATGCTGTATATTTACGCAAGGTTCGATATGTGCCGCCGCAAGGATACGAAGGTGTTCCGGTATGTACATTTTGCATCTATTCAGGAAAAAATATATACCACCACCCACACATGCATACATAGAAGTAGACGAAGCCTCGAAGTGTTTGTTAGGGATGGATAGGGGAAATAAGTATGTACAACAGAAGAAAGCGGGAAGGGGAAGTTTGTATAATAAAAACAAAATTGGAATTGGGAACGTATATATGTTTTTGTGATCACAATCTCGCCAATTCCAAAAAGTAGTCCAGATGGTTGTCAGATACAGTTTCTCGACCCATTTCACGGAGGTGAATTGGTCTTTTCTCTTTTCATAAACCTTTTTCGGCTTCTCCGACCACATCAACCGTATTCGTTCACTCTATCCGTTGTTGTTTTAATTCTAAAATCTCTCGAAAATTTCGGTCAAAATGAGACTCCGGAAATCAAGCGTTTTTACGGTAATCTTTTCATTTCTATTTTTGTTTTGATAAGGTCATTCCGAATCAAAATGTTTAGAATTGGTTTGAATTGACGAATACGCAGGAAATGCTTATTAAAGTTGTAGCTACTCCGGGGATATTGTTGAGTTTTAGCTTTATTTCAAAAAAAAAATTTCAATATAAATTCAAAACTTTTTCATTGAAATCACGTCATGTAAAAAGTTTTGAAACATGGCTTGAGAGAAAAGCTTGCAAATCCCGAGGCCTACACAAAATAAAACATTCGCAACTTCAACATCGTGACAAATATATTCCATTCTAACTTTTTTGCCTTGTTGCTCTTGCTTACGAAATGTGGAGCAGTCTCAAACTACGATCATATAGCTATGATATCGAGGATAAGTGCTCGCGACTGGTTCATTTCATCAGTTCGGTAAGGTTCAGAAGGTCACAACGGTTTTTTGGTTGATAAGAAATTCATTACGAGAGTGAAACACAAAACCAATTAACGATCAGAAAAAGTGAAACTTTTTCGTTTGAGAGTAATTGATAGGGAACAGTTTTGAACATCGGGAAGTGATACGTTGGACTAATGGTTTAAAGGCTAGATTGGTTTTAGAAAACGTGAGAAATTCAAATTCATACTTTATGGAGTTTTCAAAATTATTAATTGCCTCTTATTGTTGTTTCTTGTTGTCAAAAAACTGCTGAAAATCAAGTCAGAGAAGGCTGACACACTGTAATTCACCTAATTCAAAATTGTCAGATTTGAGCTCAATCATCTTGATACCTGTAAGAGATATGAAAAAATAGTCAACTGATAAAATGTTCACCATAATACCGCCAAAATTTTATCTGTTAACAAAACTCTAATAACTTTCACAGGAATATAGATAATTAACCTCAAAGTGCTTCTATCAGAGGAAATACGGTGCGCAGCCCTCATAGACGAAAAATACCGTCCTCTTAAAACTTTCAAGATTTTTTTTCTGATCTCTTAACTTTGGTTCTGATTATTCTCATGTGATAAATCCCTTGGGTTGCGGAACATTCTACCATGCGTGATGCATACAGGACCTGACGACAAGATACCACACTTTAATTTTTTAGAGTCCGTTTTGTAGCTCATAAAATTCTTGTATAAATAGCCCACATTTTTTATTAACTGGAAATTTTAGAATTCCCTAAACACAGTCAGTGTTTCTGTCTTGTAATTGACAATTTGTTATTTTAATTCTACATATCTCATCAGAATGAAATTTGGCGAAAAAAGTTGACAATTACAAAAATGGAAAAAACTTGAATTTTTATTGAGGGCTCTAAAGTGTTCTGTTCCTGACATACACAAAATATCTAACAATTTTGAAAATTTAAGCTTGAAAATCACAATACTATATTTTTCTTAACTATGTAATACCTTCCCACTCCCTACAAATATTCCTTTTGGAACTCCAGTTTATTTTAACAAAACTCATTGTTGGAGCACCTTGGTCTTATCGCAGCCTTTGTTTCTTGATTTTCTCTGACTCATTGCTCAACCAGTCACGAGCCAGCTGCTCACCGGAAGGAAGGTAACCTCCCTTATTTTGAGACAAATTATCATCATAAACACCGGCGTCATCTTTAAAGAAGATCAGATAGCATGCTTCAACCTATATTCCGCGGCGCATTGTCTGCCAACCGTCGACGTCGTCTTCCAACACCAAAAAATGTGTCTATCCTCATTACGTCTTGTTTTTGCTTTGCTTTGGCAAAGCCTCGTTTTCGCTTGTTTTCTAATTCTCATTCTCTCTCTCAATTTCACTGTTTCTTTTCGATTGCGCTTGAATACGATCCATCTTATCACTTTCTATTTGCCATTTTGATATGGAATGAGAAGTAGGAGGGCCTGAAGAGGAGGAGGGCAAGTACAGTGAGAATGTGAGAGTGAGAGTGAAAAAGGAATGTAACGTTTATAGGCAGACGTTAAGTGAGAGACAAGGTTGGAAAAAAAGGTGGCCGAGTGACGACGCGCGTACTTCTCTAACTATTTTTTTCACCACCCCCACCTCCCAGTCATTTTCCCTATTCTGGGCCAGTGTTGTGTTATTGGCCGCCTTGAATAGTAAATCTCTCATCGGTTTCATTTCGGAAAAAGAAGAGGAATTGACGGAGGAGGAGGTAGAAGAGGTGGAGGCAAAGTGAATTGAAGCGGAGGCCTCTCTAGAAGAAGACCCCTCACAATAACCTCTTCGGAAATTCGTCGTAAATCCCCCATTTTCCTCCAAAGAAGTCTCCAAAATCTCAAACAGTTAGAAGTAAGAAAGAGAGAAACACACACACAAAACAACTAATACTACCATGACGACGCGTACTTTTGCCCGCTTCCTTACTTCTGCCGGTTATTCACCCACTGCCAAGATGCGCTCGTCGTCTATTCAACAACTCTATATTATCATGACGGTGAGTACGTTATTCATCCCAATCCCTCTGTTCTTTTTTCTGATGTTAGTGAGAGTAAAACAATAATCCAGTTTATTTTCTCGTGGGAGGTTTTTTGCCAAAGGAAAATATACATAGCACGTACAGCACATCTGTTCGAAACTGCAGCTGTTGGGGTTTTGCGTAGATATACTCTCACTCGGTACCACCAAGTGGGTGATTTCAATGCTTTTTCATCATTCATTTTTATCCTCTAAAGGGGAAAGCGAACAGCTGGGATTAGTGGTTTTATTGCCTGTTGACCTAGATATACATAGAAATCTGTACTTTTCCATATACCACCCACATTTCATTTTCCTGTTCGGAATTTCATGGTGGCAGACATATCTCATGTTTTGATTTGCTCTTTCTTTACATTCTTAATCTGCTTCCTCCTCCTTTTCATCACTGAACGGATCATCTGTCACTATCGATAAAGTTGAGTTCCCCAAGAAACACTAATTCTTGTGTCTTGTTGTTAACCACACCGAAACCGCATGAAGAGGAAAAACAAATGAAACGTTTCATTCCAACCACGAAAAAAAGGAATGTTCGTCTTCACCACACACGAAAACGTGAGATTGGCGTTCGTTCAACAGGTTTGCCCCTGTGTTGAAAACTTTTCATCCATATACACATCATTAGACTGTTCCATGATATGATCTTGTCCATTCTGATGATACACATATTCACGCCGAATAACTGTTCAACACAATTAAAGTTAATGTGTCTGTTGAATCAAAGAATCAAGAAGTAGCAGCAAGAGACAAGAGGATAAGCATTAGAAGCATTTCTTTGCTGGGGGAGCCTTTGAGAAAATTGAGAATCAATTTGTTTCATTCTTGTCTCTTCTTGATGGGGAAGATTGAAAACATTCCATCCATCAGACTCGCCGAGAATTTTGAATTACGATTTATTGCATGTGCTCTTTGATAAATTATTTTGGTGGAGACACATCGACCAAAAAGCTTTTGACAACATTTTGCGAGATAGTTGAGGACCTCCAATAGAAATGCTTTTGACATAATTCATCTTGGTTCTTATTTCAGAAATTCCTCATTTGAAAAATACCTCATTTTCTCAAATGGAATCCTACCCTAAACTTGCACCTTGAGCTCAATTGTTCAGATTTCTATGAGATATATCGAAAATCTCTCAAATGATGAAATAATGGTCATATTATGATAAATATAGTTTTAGTTAAACGTTTTAAAATATTTTACATAAGAACCGAGATAATTGAGGCCATACTGCTTGTATACGGTTGACCTCTATTAGAGCAAATATACTATTGCTGATATTATATACTATTGCTGATATATTTATAAACAATTTTACAGTTGACTATTTCTTTATATTTTCTAAGAATAACGTGAAATTTTGATTCCAAATTCAGTGACCCTTCTATTAAAGGTTTTGAAGTATATTCAGATATAAATTCTTAATTGCAAGTCTGTTATTTCAGCACGGATTAGAAAATTTTGTAAACTTTAGTATTTTTTCGAACTTCGAGTTGCATAATTTTTCGAGGAAAGTTTTTTCAGCTCACATTTTAATACAATTGTGTTCCCAACTAATTTTTTTTCTAAAATATCATTCTGCAAGCCGAATCGCCAAAAAGAATTAATTTTCGCGACCCCAAAATAAGTCAAAGATCTCATTTTTTCCAAAAATCGCTCATGTATGAATTTCAGCTAATTCAACGAAAACAACAGTATACATTTTTTGAAAAAAAAACTAGCTACAATTTTTTTGTTTTCGTAGTCCCAAAAGTAAATGTTTTTTTCTAAAAGTTTGTAAAAAAAGAAATCCGGCCACTCAACACTTTTAAAAAATAAAAATGTCACGCAAAAAGTGAAAAAATCGCGTAAAAATCGAAAATTTTAGTGGCACCCTCAACTCTTATAGCCCCGTATGATTTACTACATAATATACTTATTTATTCAGTTCAAACTGAAGAAAGCTTTCAAAATATGTTACTATGTTGCTTATCGGTGAGTGGAAAAAAAATACAACATCATTTTTTCATATGGCACGTTATGTTAAATAGATAGAAAACTTTTATTTTAGAAAAAAGTTTTCGAGGTTTATACATTTCTTTCAGGGAAACCAATTTCTTAGAAAGAGTACGACCTATATACATTTCATTTTCCGTATTTCATGATTCTCTCTGTTTATTCTCTGTCGGTTTTTGCGTGTGCTCTTTTACACGGCACGGGATGACTCAAACCACTCCTCTCAATTTCTTCTTCTTCTTCTTCTTCTTCTCGCCCTTCAGGGGCACCCAGAACTCTTTTTTCTTTTCTTTCACTTGCTTCTTTCATCTCTTCCAGGACAACATATGTTCGCCTTCACGTTTTTTTTCGGGGTCTTTTTCTCCTATAGTCGCTTTCTTTCAACTCGAGTTTATTAGGAGGCAAGGAATCTTGTTTGCACTACTCCCACCCGAATGCCATTAGTGCCGGCGACAAGTTGCCGAAACTTCTTTATTCGTTGGCCAGAAAAGTTGAAACTTTTGCTGCTTCACTTCTCAGTAAGCGGATTATTCGAAATGAAGACGCGCGAATATTTTTGCCCGATTGCGCACATAGGTCTCTTTATTTCTCGATTTCGCCTCCGAAACCCACCAAATAAATTTTTTCTTCATCAAATCGTTATTTTTCACCAAATTCCGGTCATTTCCTCCTCAAGTGAGCAATGTGCATTCCTTCCTAATTTCTCATCATCTTCAGCTTCATATGCAATACTTCACATTTGACAAAATCACTAGAAATTTCTCCAGACTACCGGTTAGTAGGTCAAACAATGGGTGTGAAATGGAAACTGTCACAGTTAAGAGTAGAAAAAAAGTCATAACTATGTATTTTATTTTCTCACTAAATATAACTTTTTTCTGGTTTCAGCGGTATCGAGCAATCGACCCGGATCGACCTAAAACGGAAAACACTGAAATGTCAAGTGCCGATCATTTAGAATGGGAATCTGTCAAAGAGAAAATGATCAAAGCTGGAACCGTAGAACGGCTTGTGGTAATAAATCTTTTAAAAGCTTTAAAAACCAACATAAATGCGGTAATTTGCAGGAATGCTTAGTTGGCAGCGATGACATGATGGATTCGCGGCATTTCAATGTGTTTTTTGCAACTTATAGAGCGTTCACGGATTCCGCAATTGTTCTGGACTGGTTAGTTTGAAAGATATGAAAGTATTTGGTGAATAGGGGGAGGTCTATATACAGTACCAGCCCCTGTAAGAAAACCAAAACGCGTTTTTCAGTACAGTTTTGGTTATTTTTAAGGGTCTGGAACTCGACTTCCAAATTTCCGACCACTTTGAAAGTTTTGGAGGGTGTGAAACAGACATACATGCAAACATTTGCATTTTTTTACGGAATTTTTTGAATATTCCTAGTTTTTCCGAAATTTGCCGATTTCTGAAAAACTTAACATCCAATCTCCAGACTCCTGAAAATGGTCAAAAAGGGCGAAATTTGACTGAAAAATACGGTTTCATCTCATTGACTAGTACTGTAGGTGAATACTAAAGCAGAATGTTTTTCAGCTTGTTGAGGAGGTACGAAGCACTGGAGAACGAGGTGAACGGCAGTACATCAGCGTTGTTAGTTCAAAAGTGAGTTTTTCTGATTTTTTAAAAAATTTAACAATGATTATTTCCAGCTCTATACGTCAAATTGTGATGTGCTGGCTTGAGACATATCCAGAAGACTTTTACGATCCTGACAAAGATTTCATCATGCTCTCCAGCTTACTCGACTTTGGAGGCCGCAACAAGCTCACCGAGCTACGTGCCAAAGCTCGAAAGCAAAGAGAAGTGTTCAAACGAATCTATGATGAAGGTGGAATGCAAGCGGCGCTTCCGTCACTTGGTCAATACGTGGCTGACATGGGTTTCGACCCATCCGACTACCCCAATAATATCAAAGAGCGGGTCAAAATGTTTGATGTTGGAAAAGAGAACTGCGTGCAGATCGCCGAGCAACTGACGTTTTGGGATGCGGTTAGTAATGATGATTCATTCTTGTGATTTAGCAACAATTCATGAACTTTAGGCACTTTTCAAAGAACTTCTGATACATCAATGTCAAGGATGCGTTTGGTCGAAGCGAAGGACCGCTGGAGAGCGCGTCTACACAGTGAAAGCCACTATTGAACAGTTCAATTCGGTGTCGCAGCGGGTGATGACAAGTATCGTGCTTCCGGATTGTCGGCCGGAATATCGAGCGAAGATTATCAGCAAGTGGATTGACATTGCCAGAGAGTTACGGGCACTGAAGAACTTTTCATCGCTTAAAGCAGTCTTGTCGAGTTTACAATCCGAGCCGGTTCATCGTTTGAAATCGGCATGGAACTTTGTTCAAAAGTGAGTTTTCTAGGTTTTAATAAAATACTGATTACTGAAAAAAAAATGATTTTGATTATTTCGAAAAAAATACGAATCGCTTTTTGTGATCGGGAAAATTTTTTGAATTTTGGTCTAGTTCGGTCCTTTCCACTATTCAAAAAATTGTAATTACAGTAAACCATTTTCTGTTTCCAGCCGCTCCATATCGCAGTTCCGAGAGCTCTCCTCCATTTATGAAACCGACGAAGATGGTGATCAAGGAAACGCTCGGAAGATTCTAGAAAAAGAAGGAACTGCAAAAAGCTCACCACTCCGTCGACCACAACTCATCCAGAACTGCCGACGGACAAAAAGCGATGTGAATCTGGCAGAGTGCCAAGGAACCGTTCCATACCTTGGAAACTTTTTGACTGACTTAGCAATGGTTGATGAGAGCACACCGGACTATACGCCTGGTACATCTTTTGAAATTTTTTCAAAACATAAATGTTTCGAATTTCAGAAAACTTGATAAACTTCGAGAAGCGACGAAAAGAGTTCGAAGTGCTTGCAAAACTCCGATTATTTCAATCTGCTGCACGTGCTTATAACATCCCGATGGATCGTATGTTCTGCGCTTGGTTCTTCTTCCTGCCTTGTCTTGATGAGAATGAATGTTTCAATCGGTCTTTGGAAATTGAGAAGCCACCAGTGCATTCCACACCAGATTTATCTTCGTCAAGGCTGAACAGCAGTTTGTTGAGTAATGGATCTTCGGGAACTCCACCTGTCAAGAAGTGAGTTTTTATTCTGACTACTCTTGAAATTAAGATCACTTATTCTAGCTCAACTCTATCCCGTTTATTCAACTCATCCAGAACAAGTGAAGATAGTGGAAGTCATAATGGCAGCAATGGTCATAATGGTACATGGCATCAACATTCAAATTCTTATTCTTCCTCAACTAACTCTCATATTCCTTCAATAACCACTGGAAGCTCGTTGAACATCTCGGATAATGGAACTGCAAAACACTCTCAGGACAGTGGTCTCCAGTGTGAAGATTGGATCGATGGGCGTCTTGACGGTGGTCCTCCTGGACCCGTACCCCTGTCTGGAACGTCGACAATTCCTCGAGGTACGAATTCGAACTCCCCATCAATCTCAAATGTTTCATGGTCAGGTGGCAGCGAGTTCACACCATCGTCGTTGTTTCCGTACAGTCATAGTCGAAGTAAAAGTGGCGAGTCGTCGCTGCAAGAGGTGAATACTTCGATTTCGACGCGAGTTAGTGTGGATAACACGGTGAGTTAGTTTAATTGATGTGGAGCTGAAACAATTGTGAGGTTTTTCGAAGAAAACATCAAAAAATACGATGCTAATGCCAAAAAAAGACAAAAACAACGAGCGAAAAAAGAAAAAGGTGGTGGAAGAATTTCGCCGCGTAAATCGACACACAGAGAAACCTAGGCCGGCAGCCGGGACGGCCAAGCATGACTCGTTGTGGTGTTAAAATTGTGGTCTATTTGTAAGAAAAGTGGTTGAAATGAATAAGAAAGAAAGAAATAAAACAATTACTTTTCTTCTGTAAATGAACCAACAAATTGTAAAATGACACTTGGAAAAAAAATTGAACATTTTTAATAAATTATAATTTCAGAGTGGCACCCAATCTTTATCCAGAAGTGCAACTCCTATCCGGACACGATTGGCAGAAGTGTTTGACTCTAAAGTCTTCTCGCATCAGAAAAAAGGAAGCGACGCGTCCAGTTGCTCATCTTCGTCATCTTTATCAGCCAATGGATCGTCACCCCCACAAAATTCCTTTTATTTGGCTAGAGTTGGACTGGATGATGACCTCCAAAATACTGATGGGGCAAATTACAAGTGCATAAAGGTGAGTGAGGATTTTGGCATGACCCTATTTCTGAAAACAACTTTTCAGATTGAAAACGGTGATCGCATGCCTCAACTCATCGCCCGCGCGCTTGAAAAACATTTGATAGACGATGAGAAAAATAAATATCTGCTCGTCCAACTTTTGCCACGTGGCGGTGAATTTGTGTTGCCTGACAACTGCAATCCGTTCTATGCTATGGCTCCGGATCCGACGTCGCCAATGTTGAATTTGATGTTGAGGTGAGAGGAAACTTGGAAATCTGAGAGAATCAATGAATAATTTTTTTAGAAAACGAGACTGCAACGGAACCATTGAAGGCGGCGTCTCTCCACAGTTGGGTCCATCAGCCAAAAAATTGAATCGCATGAAGCGAACTAATCTATTGCGATGGAGCAGTGGCTATCTGTAAAACAAGTGCTTGCAAAGTGCTCAGTCATAAAGTCTACCGGTTACCTCGGTTTTTTAATTATTATTGTTTATTTTCAATATCTACCAGATAGTTTATATATGTCTTCTTATTTTTCGTAAAAACGGGTATTTCTCAACAACAACAAAAAACGAAGAAATCCGTTTTCTATAATCACTGTGATTTTCTATGTGCTCTTCGTCCCCGAGTTACAAATTCAAATTTCTATGCCTTACTTTTGTTTCTTGTGTCTATGTGTTCAAACAATTGCTCCAGATTTGATGATTATTACAATTCAAAAATGCAGGTGGTGTCATGTCAATTTACTTAACCGGACAAAAATCAAGTTGTATACTGATTAGTGATTTAAATTTGTATTATCTTAAATTTTAAATTTTTTTGTTATCTTCAGAAGAGAATAAATTAGATTTTTTGTAAAATGAGTATTAAACATTATGGATGTTTAGAGCGGAATTCAGAAATCCAAAAATTAGGCTAATATTCGGAATGAAATACAGTCCGGATTAATTAAAACAGTCAAGCTGATTTTGCAGAATTATATTTAGTTCAGAAAAATTCCGAAGCGTTTTTTTAAATTCATTTGTCAATTTTACTTTTTCATTTATTTTTGTGACTGAGAAATTAGATTCCAATATTCCGATATTCCGAAATTCTCAAAATCTGAATTTTCAATATTCCAGAAATATCCATAAAAGACATTCAGAACATCTTTGATTGCAAATTGCAAACATCATTCTAGAATTTCGGACAATGAAATTGAAAACCGTGAAATTTGTGAAAAATTCTGAAAATTCTGAATTGGCGTTTCGAAGTGTTCTACTCCAATTCATTTCATTTTTGATGCCAAAATCGAAAACCTCTCGACATTGCCTCTCCGTTCGAGTTTGCCGCGGTCGGTGCGGTCTGTTTTGGCCAGTCGGCGGTCCATGATGTTTACCGCCGAAGACATTCGACCTGATATCTTATTTGCACAACGACCGCACCTTCTCTCTTTCCCTCTCTCCACAAATTTTTTGCCCACATGGTTACCTATTGTGCTACGCCTAGCCCTCTATTCGATTGCCGATCCTTGTGAACATGTCTTCGGATTTCATGCGCGTTCTACAGAAACGAGATGTCAACTGGTGCGAAAGCGGACATGGTGAGCTTCAGTTTTTTGTAGTTTTGGTTGGAAGCATATGGATGAGGGGAATAAACAAAATGATTCAAGAAAATCCAACTTTTTTTTGTGTTTTTTGTATTTTTTCTGGATTGCCACCTGTGTGGTTCAAACATTGATGTGCATTACTTCTAAAAACATAAATGCTCTCTTTTTTCAATTATCCTTTTTCTTCAAGATACATTCCAAACCATTCTTTCCATCCTTTCTCCCAATTTCTATTGAAAACTGTTTGTCAATAGAAAAACACCGTTCGGCACATTCCGAGAAATAAAACACACCTTTTGAGGTATCAGTTGTCATCAAACAGTGTCTTTGAAGAATTTCTCCCTTTTTTTTGGAAAATCAGATTTCTAAAAATGAGTCTATAAAATGAAAAAAAAATCGAACTTTGAATTTGTCATATTTTTGTACTGTATATCACTCTTCCGTTATCTCCTAAGTTGGCATCAAAAATAATGATGTTTACCCAATAGATAACAGAAAAAAACTTTGTGGGCGAATGCGGAAGTCTAATTTCTAAAGAAAAACCAAATAATCAAATATTTTCCAGGTTACCCAGCATTCTGTCCAGGACCGAGTGATCCGTCGCACTACAAATATTGCTGTACATTTCCTTATTTAAAATCCTATAAACCATCTTGTTGTATGCTTCCGACGGACGGCATCTGGCTGTTAACGTATTGCTCATCATGTATCATCCTGTTTGTATGTGAGTAAATTTTCACAAAACAAAATTTCCAAGAATCATAAACAGTATCGGCCAAAAAATGTCTAATTCACCTACACTATAACCTGAAATAGAAGGTCCTAACAACTTTGAGCCAATTTTTCTGAGTTCTTGTTCAAAGTATCAAGAAATTAAATGACGAAACTAATAAATAGTTCATCATAATACCAGAAGTGTTGTGTCAGCTGTAACATTTTCGTAAGCTTACATAGGAATCCAGATAATTGAGCTCAGACTTGACATTGTGGGGCTCTACTATAGTCTTCTTACTCTCCTATTATTTGATTTTCGAGTATCACTTTCTTCAAAATAGAGTTGATGACTCAAACTTTTTTGTAAAATGGAGCAAATTGAATCGTCCGACAAAAATGATGCTAAAGTATTCTCATCTTAAAAATAATAAGAAAAAAAATTTAACGAAAAAATTCACTTTTTGGAAAATTTTGGATTTTTGGATGCTTTTTTCAATAATCTGGAAAAAAATAGGAAACGATCAGGAATGTGAAACATAACATTTTGAACATAATTAAAGAAACTTTGGCCGACTTTTAAGCAGATAAAACCTTATCAAAATAGAATTCTGTGCATGCTATGGTTGCTCAAAGTGTCAGCTAGAGATTCCCTGCTTCTGGGCGTGTTCTACCATCGTTCCACAATTTCAAATTGTCAATAATAAATTGTCACTGCTGTCATGTTTTCATAATTTTTTAGGTGTTCATCTTCAATCTCTGATTATTTTTCACTCGAAAAAGTGTTTCTTCAAGCACCAGAAACTGACTTCATAAATTGTGAGACAAACTGAAACCATCGTTAAGTTCACTTCAAGCCATTCTGATAAAGTGGGTTGACGGAAATTGATATTTTTCTTATGAATATCTATAATACATTCATTTCGCATCCTGGAAAACATAATTTCCTTTTGTGAAAGCATCCAAAAGTCCAAAATTTTCCAAAAAGTGAATTTTTTCGTCAAAATTTTTCTTTATCATTTTCAAGATGAGAATACTTTGACATCATTTTTGTCGGGCAATTCGCTCCATTTTACAAAATAGTTTATATTTTTTTGAGAAAAGTTATGCTCGAAAACCGCAGAGTGGACAACCTTTTGCACTGTAATGTATATTTCTTGAAACCTTCCTGAGAAGCACTGAGTTCAGAGTCGTGATACTCTTAAACGGTTTATCTTATTTAGATGATGTTGTACAAAACGTTTTCATCTGAGGAATTGAAAAACTATATTTGCTCAGTATTTTCGGAAAATTTCAGAATTTTTAGTTTGATAAACTGTTTTGCGGTATTCTAAATTCGAAACATAAAGCTTCTTCATTACTAGTCCAAATCTGAAGCGCTATTTTGAAAATCACTTTTATTTTGACATTTTTACAAAATTTTCTAACCGTGTTTGTCAAGTTTCAAGGATGGGCCAAAACATTGTGACTTGAGTAGCTGCTTTTTCGGAAATTCACCATAAAGAATCATCGAACTATAAAGTATGAACTTGAGACCTTGACTGTGAAATTTTCATTACGATACTTAGCCTATCTCCGGTTTCGACAATTTCAAAAAATTTCAAAATTCAACTATTGTCAAAATTTTACAAGTTCTGCCTGTACTGTGACACTGACACATTCATAAAACGTTTCAAATTTTCCATTTTCAGTTTTCATCGCACTGTATTGCTGGTGTTGGCCGTCGAGCCGTCTCAACAAACGGATGAACCGTACTGCACCCCCGCCAGTGATCTCACAAGATGAAATATTCCCGCGAAGAAACTCCTACAAAAGCAGTATTCCTTTTGATTAAACTTATTACTTCTCACACTCATGCAATCACTTCACTTACAACCTCCTTGTGTTTTACGCTGAATAAAAGTTCAAACAAATGTTAAGGCCACAAGAAGTCGGTATTCTCCCTTTGAAGTTTTTCAAATAGTTATGAAAAATGGAAACATGTCTCATCTTCTTCTTTAAATAGCCGCCAAACGCGGCAAATTACCGCATTTGCTATGAGTGTATTTGTGACTCTGCAAATAAAAATAACAAGTTGAGGCACTTGTCATCATCTTTGGAAAATGCGCGGGAAAAAAGGATATATAGACGGAAGAGGATTCTCGATTGCCGTAAATGGATTACACCAGTGTACATATCACAAAGAGGACGCCGAGCAATAACATAGCGACCTCGGCCGTCCTAATTCGATCTACTAACGGGGCAGATGTGTCCCAAAGAATAGGAAGAGAGCGATAGCTCATCCTACCTAGTACCGCGAGAAATTGATGGAAATTGTTGGGTCCTAGAGGAATTGGAAGGATTGAAAAATTGAAAAGATGAGAAGCGGAGTTGAAAAGAAACTCGTTCAGAATTTTCATAAAATGTTCAATAAACCTGTGATACAGTAAGACAGTACGAAAAAGTCAAGGAAAAAATTACCGTGCACTTTCAGCTCAATTATCACGGACTTTTTAAAAGATGTGAACATTCTGTCAACTGATTAAATACTGGTGATGTAATGATAAAAATTTCCCTAGTTGGCAGATTATTGTTATCTCTTAAAGGATTTGAAAGAATTGAGCTTGAAGTGAATGCATAGGGTGGTCTTTTGTCAGTCTGTTTACGGTAGTACATTTAACGGAACATTCGAATTCCAAATTCCAAATTTTAAATATCGCGCGACACAAAGACAACGGCGACAATATTTTGGAAAGCGTAATATTATTTTTCTCGATTACCAAGAGACTTAAAGAAGTAGAAAATTTTTTGGCGGTCTTACAAGGTTGCATGATCTCTATGCAGCTTTTGAATCCGATACCTCGCAATTGTTTATTTTCTTCCTAAGTTTAACGAATCTAAAACGAGAAAACAGGAATTTCAAGATACTGTGTTTGCTCTAATAGAAGACCGCCCTATACGTGCATTTTGAGCTCGAATATATCGGTTCCCAAGAAATATATTCAAAATCTGTCAACTGATAAAATACTGCTGATAATATGATGAATAATTTGTTATCCGGTGATTTTTTCATATCATCTGAAAGAACCGAGATAATTGAGCTCAAATTCACGTATAGGCTGGACTGCTATTGTAGCATTTACGGTACTTATTTCGTGGATTTTTAACGTAGGTTTACTGTACCTCAGGTGTATCATATCTTCCTCAAAATTTCTCAGCAAATTACTTATCATCTTCTCTAACTATTATTTTCAACTGAAAAATCAAACGTTTGTTTTTTATCGAGTACTGTAGACGGGAAAAGCAAATTTCGAAAACTGAGAACTTATAGGACTCAGGTCGCATTTCAAATTATAGGATTCAGAAAAAATGTTCGTAGGGTTTGGGACCGTGTCGTTCCAGAAACTAAAAATTCCATTTTTCACTCATCACTCTTTTCGACTTCCCCTATTCAAGGATACCAAAATCCGAAAACCAAAACCCAGTGAGTTAAATTACAATCATAACTAGACTCATCTTCCACAAACACACACACGCATGCATCTTCTGCGCTCAATTTCAATAATCGAATGAGGAAACGGCAATCCTTTGTTCTTGCCCTCCTGCTCGCATGGTGCTCGCCCCCCATGGGGTCATCATGCTGAACCCCCTTATTACTGTAGATTGCTTTTTATCCATTACAATTCATGGAGACAAACAAAACACACTGCGGATAACAAGTTTCTAATGGGTATCTGAGAATAATAGAGATTCCACAAAGCTATAGGTTTTTCTAGATAAACAAATATTTTTCCGATTTGCTAATTATTGCTCTTAAAAAACATAGAACAACATCCCCCCTATTTTTTTTGGAAAGATATTTGGAAACCGAATATCTGTTCTGACAGATGTTGATTTACAATTTCCCGCCAAAACCTGAATAAAACCTTTCATATACATGCACACATACACAGATGTATGATAACTTTACAACTCTCTCCAGATTGTACATTTCTATTGTTTTTCGTTACCGCCATATATTTCTGTTCGCACACGTAAAAACTCATCAATCGAGGCTCATGGGACTTATTGCCTTACTCGGAGAGGAATTTCTGATTGTCGGCATCCTGCTGCCAGCTCATTAACTCCTTGATATACTCTCTTGAGGTGCTTGTTGCCACTTGATTACCTTCATAAGTGTTGGGGCAGTAAAGAGGCATCCTGAGGATGGCTCAAATGTTACATCGAAAACCATTTGTCACGAGATACAAAATTTCGTGCAATGGCTACTTGCTTCTAACGTCGGTCAGAGAAATAAAACTTGTCCAACTTTCTTTTTCTCGTTGACTCATCGATTCAACGACTTTTTATTTCTTGATTTTTTTTTGCTCTTAACTCTAGCAACGTTATTTCAAATTTTTAGTTGATTCGCTCTTTCATATGATGTGAAAATCCCCAGTACCCCCAAAAAATCCCTTTCAAAATCACCCGAAAAAAGTTTTAGGGACAGATGTTCGGCGGCTCGTTTTTGTAACTTTCCTTTTTCGTGACCCTTACCAGCTTTGGTTTTTGTGTGTCTACTTCAAACACTGATGCGATTTTTTGAATTTTTAATCTATCAGTTTAGATTTTCGTATAGATGTCATAAGTTATGGAACCTGACATTTGATGTTAGGGACTTGAAAAAATATAAGACTTGAAATTTCAAGAAGAGTTATAAATCTTGGAGGTCATAAAGCTTTCACTATACTGATTTGAGGGGAATATTTTTTAATATATTTTTTTATTTCGAAGTAAAACCCATCCAAAATGATGCTAAAGGCTTTTCTAACAGCTGCGTCATTGTCTGAAAAATGAGTTGTCAGGCCATTATGAGCTTACCGTATCTTTCAAGAGTGTTCACCACATTCCATACAACTTTTATTAATTTTCTGACATTCGATGTGAAGCTCGAAATTTTGAAAAGAGTGACAAATTTTGGATTACGCTGTTACTACATCTTTGATTAATCAGAGGGGAAATATTTTTAGATGTTTGACTAAAAAATAGAACCAATCCAGAACGATGCTGAGCGATTTTCTTACAGTTGTTACTGGAAAGAGGTTACTGGAATGAGTAATTAGCGGGATATCCTTGAAACATTTTCACCACATTCCTTGCAACTTTCCTTAATTTTTCCCCGATTGAACTTTGATTTTTACTACCCTCTTTCTTATTTCCGAACCTTGTTTTCGTTTCCTTTCAGCTCACTTTAATTGACGACAGTAATCGAATTGAAGACATACACTACCAGAACCCACAGACACTGGTCTCGATTACCATTCAAAGGCAAAAGTTGGAAAACAAGTGGGCGTGTCTTGCTGGGACGCGTCGATTGGTCGTGCCGCCGCCAGAGCCGTGGTTGCCTCTGATCTTCGTGGGGTGTGGGAGGAGCTTGAAGTGGCAGGGGTCAAGACTGAAAGAAGTCATTTGATATTTGCGACACAAGTTGCGCACATCGACAGTCAAGCTGGTGTCTGCGGCGGTTGATATTCTGAAAATGAGTGACGAGGATGAGCCGCTCAACTTCTCGACATCAAAAGATCCAGGTAACCACAACATCACATCACTCTCTATTTTTGATTCTTCCTCCTATTTCCGGCTAGTCTGCGAGTTTACGCACTCTACCCATTTATCCACCTATCCGTTTCAAAAATCATATCTTCTTTTGACGTTACTTTTCTTGTTAGAAGACTCTGCTTTTTCCTCTTGACATTTCTCATCATCATCAATATAGGGCCCCGCGACAATACCTTATTGTTGTGCTTCTGACAGGAAATTATGCATCGTTGAATCAAATGCACATGACATCTTTCCTGTCTCTGTTTTTGAGTCGCGCCATAAGATCGAGAATGAGGAGGAAATATAGCGGCGCGAGAACAATAATTATTTTCAGAAGACACAAAGGAAGGGATTCTTGGGGTACGGTCGATTTTCAACACTCCTCTTCTGTTTCCACCTCCAATTTTCAACGCAGGTAAATGCGATTTTTGGTATTTGACAAAGGTTGTAGTGGGGATCTTCATCAAATGAGAAGATAACATTCTCGAAAAATACAGTATTTTTATTTTTTGATAATGCTAATAGGCTAAATTGTCAGTTTGTGAGAAGTTAATTGAGGCTCAGCCACGTGGATTATTTTTAGGAGTTCTGAGAACGATCAAGAGTTATAGTCATAGTTTTAGTCAACACAGTTTATCTTCAACAAGTTCAAATAAGGAATTGCAGCTTAATTTAAGTTCACAATTTGAACTTCTACGAATTTCGATTTTCTTTCCATGAGTTTTTGGGGTGGATCTTAAGTAGATGTATTCGAAAACTAAGTCAGGTAAAAATTAAGCTACTAAGAGGAACTAGAAAAGTTAACTATTAATACAATTTTATTATTTTTAGTCTAATGATCTCAGATTTAGAAGGAAGTACTAGAATATTTTCAAGTTTACCACATTTGAACTAATTTATCTTTATTCCTGTGAAAGATATCAAAAATGTGTCAACTGATAAATAGGTTATGATGGTGTCATCAATGTTTTATCAATTGACCACTTTTGTATACCTTTTACAGAAAATGAGATAGATGGGCTCAAGTTTGACGGTTTGGGGTTGCTTCTATCAGAGGAAAAAAGTTATTTGTAATATCCTATCAGACATTTTATCATTTGAAAAGTTTTCAATTTCTTTGCCTAAAATTAAGATAGTAAGAGCGTACAAATTGTTAAAGCGAAAATGCAAATCTACCGTAATCCAATCAACGTTTGCTCAACATATCCCGGTTGTAAACACTGGAAAAAACCTGTAATAAACATCGAAAAATTTCACACATGACATATTTTTGATGAAATTTTTTTTTGTGCTTTGAGCACTTTCTGATATCTTCTACAAAAAACCAATAGATTTAGCTTTATTTTGAAACCGACAGAAGCAATAATCGAGATTTCCATTCTAGGCGTGATTTCTCCTCACATTGCTGCCGCTCTAGCCATGTCATTCAATCAACAGAGGATGAACGCTAGCGTATCACCACCATTGGACCATACCACTATCAGTGTGAACAGCTTCCCCTCTATGGGATCAGTTAAGTCGGACAGTCCTCCAACATCATCGTCTCCAACGCTTTGCTGTGCAGTATGTGGCGATGTTAGCAGTGGGAAACACTATGGTAATAATGTTCTTCTCTTCCTTTTTCGAGACATTTTGGTTATTTAAGGCATTCTTGCCTGCAATGGGTGTTCTGGATTCTTCAAGCGATCAGTCAGAAGACGACTGATCTATCGATGCCAAGCAGGAACCGGAAACTGTGTTGTCGATAAAGCCCATCGCAACCAATGTCAAGCTTGCCGTCTCAAGAAGTGCTTGAACAAGGGGATGAACAAAGATGGTATTCGTGAATTTCATATATCTGGAGAATCGTGTCGAGTTTCAGCTGTACAAAATGAGAGGCAACCTAGAAATACGGCAACTATCCGACCAGCAATCGATATGGATCCTCAGAACTTCTTTCGGGAGTATGCAGGTGCTGTGTCCGCAATTATGGGACACTCAACAATGATTAAACGGGAAGATTCACCATCCAGTGCCAGTGATGGTAAAACTGAAGATGAGAAGGTAGGACTACGGTACTTTATTTTCTGTTTTACACTTGTTTTCCAGAAAGACAGCCTCCAAGAATCAGCACTATCCCATATGGAGAGTATTCTCCAGTGGGCCCAGCAATTCCGTCTTTTTGCAGTTCTGACCGAGTCAGAAAAGGTACACGAGCCAACTTCATGATGATATACACGTAATTTAATAATTCCAGCGTCAAATTATTCTGACCCAATGGCCACGTCTCCTATGTATTGCATTGTGTGAGCAGTCGGAAGACGCATCGCTCGACGAGCACCTCGGCAGCATCATGCTCAAATTCCGACGTTTAGACGTTTCGCCAGCGGAATTCAATTGTATGAAAGCGATCACCATCTTCATGAAACGTGAGTGAAGTAAAGGGGGTCTGAGGAACCATCGGATGGCGGAGCAAGCATCATTACCGTATACCCCAAACCACTTGTGTCCCAAAAAGAGATGAGAAAAGAAGACACGACGTTGTTGCTCTGTGTCGCCGCTTCTGTCGGCTGATGGGTTTTCGGCAATTGTGTTATCCCTCTTGCCCTGGTGTCTTTTCTACCAAAATGTGAAATGCAACCACGGCATGCCATTAACTCTTTACCCACAGCCTGTGTCCCCGGAGGCTCGTCTGCGCATCCCGAACTCGGGTGCTCCATAGAGCCACGGCGCGAAAAGGTAATTTGGGAAGAGGAAGAGTAGTTAGTCGCAGTCCATCCATTATTTGTTTGCTCCAATCTACACAACCAAAAAGGCATGAGTAACTTCCGAATTTGATACTCTATGGGTACTTTTGGGTCAAATGTAAAAAGGATCGGTTACATAGAAGTTTTTACGAATGATTTTACAAGGTTGCACACTAGAAGTATAATCGGGATTTGCGAGAAAACATTTCAAAAAAAATTAAAAATTTAAAGGGGAAATTTTATTATTTCAGCCAACGATGATTCCGAGTACCAATTCGAAGAACAACTCGACCAATGCATTTGCCTCCTCCAACAATGCTGTTTGAAACTTGACTCGTCGCCTTCGAGATTTGGAAAACTTCTTCTTCTCCTTTCTGAAATTCATTTCTATCAAACCAGTAACCTTGAATCACTTCTCGATTCTAAAATTTCTTTTCTTGTCTCGCGATTCTTGTAAGCGCTAAAAGTCCACGATACCCACTACCTATTTTTTCAAAATTTTTTCGATCATTTGTCGTCAGTTCACTCCAGCCATATCTGCTCAGTCAGATCGCTCTCAAAACCCAACTACTCAGTTTTTTGATAATCAGCTCCTTTTTTTTCATGACATATTGATAAGTGTCGACATTCCTTTTGTGTATTGATACTCTCTATTCTTGACACCAATAAACATTTCAAAATTTAAAAACTTCGGCTATTTTCAGTTTTTAAAAAAATCTACGTATGTTTTTCAAAAGTATTTATTGATTAATTTGTATTAGTAGAAAACAATTTTCTATATCAAAACAGAGGAGAAAGGAGATGATTTTTCGGAGTCACGTGTGCATTCTGGTGTGACGGTGTACAGTTTTTAACATTTAAAATATTAAAAATCGTCGCGACTTGAAAAAATAATTGTCTCAGAAACCAAATGGTGCGAAAATGTGTTTAAAATTAGGTGAATTTTCAAGTTGTTGAGTTGTCGTATAATTAATGTCTTTGAGGGAAAACTTTCAAAAAGTATTCATGGAATATGTTTGATAACAAATCGAACGATAGTTTCGAAGTAAAATTAAACGGTAGCTTTGCAGTGTTTATGAATTAAATTGTTTGATTCCTAAAGCCACTTTTTCAAAAATTGTAGGAAAATAACGAAAACAAAAGAATTCATGCAGAGGCCGAAAAGAAAACCAGCAGATTTGATGTTTCTCAGATTTCACGAGAGGATATGTGAGAAAATAGATGAAACAACCAAATGCGCGGAGCACTTTTCCGTTTATTTTTTCTCCTTCAAATCTGAACCATAGTTTTCTTATTTATTTATTTTTCATTTTATTTTGATAAAATTGAATTGTTGGAAAGGTCCAATATGACAGCTCTGAATGCTTTTTTAATTTTTGAATTTGAACTTTAAAATTGAACTGCTTTTGTTTTGCCGATAAAAAACAGTGAATTTTATATCTTGAAGTTTGTAGAAGTCTATTGCACAACGTCCACACTGGTTGCCTATATATTTCCTTATACTATGGAACCCCTTTTTTCAATGAAAAAATCTCACCATTGATTTCAAACTTTTTGAATTTTTAAACAGATTCCGATTGATAATTATCCTCATTGAAATACCAGAAACCATGTCCCAGGATCCAGACATACATCAAGTGCTTAGAGCACATTGGTTCAAAGGGTCCATCTTAGGGCGTAGTCTCAATGTTAAATAATAGCAGCTTAAACCTATAATTTTGAAAAATGAATGAAATTGTAAAATTTTTTCTCGTCCTCCCACATGTTCCACAAAGTCTTAACTTTGGAATAAATTTTGAAAGCTAGATGTATCCATTTAGATGTACACTTGGATACTGGACCTCAATTCATTTATCCATATTCTTAACTTTGTTTTTTTCAAAATCTGATTAGTTTCTTACCGAAAAATTGTCTATTATGAGAGATTCTGTTCAGGTCACTCTGTCTTCCTAATTGAATGATCAATCAGATCGCACATATGTTTTCTTATCAGGCAACATTCAATCCCTCATTGGCATGAATTTGAATTTCTTCATATTATTCTCATTCTTTGCTTCTCATGACAAAACACGGCTCTATTTATTCTTAAAACGTCATTTCGTCTCGAGGAAGAAACACAAGATTCGTGAGATGTCTCTGTCAAATTCTGTTTTCTTGACGGATCCCAGAGGCTCCTTTCGATTTTGGCATTTCGTGAATAACTAGTAGAAATGAGCAACACACTCCTCACACATTCCTGATGTTTCAGAAGAAGGAAGATGCAAAATGTCAACTAGTTTGATTGGAATTCCCTCGTTTAGTGATGGACACTTCTTGAAAAAAGACATAGCGTACATCTCCTTGCTCTTTTTTTCTTTTCGGCCCTCGAAAACGGGTCTAATGTCAAATATAGACATGAATATGATAAAACGAGTGTGTAGTTGTCCATCAAAAAGTTTCGAGAGCCAAAAACATGTCACCTCGTCGTCCTCCCGATGCACATCGTGGTGTGTGGTGGTGTCACATGAAATTCTGGAAATACATATCAAAAGAAGACGTGACTATTCTATATTGAAGGCTTTTTATTCTCGACGGAGGAGATTGTGCGATGGAGAGCACTTGAAGAAAGCAATCTTCAGAAAATAATTCGGAGGCAATTTTGCCGCGTGCGCGGGACGTATCACTTGTCACATCGCATATGCTTCTCTTTTGAGCCATCTTCGGCATTCTTTTGATTTTTGACTTTCTCGAAAAGGCCTTTCTCCTGTAATGATCTTTTTTTCTCTGTATTTGAAGAAAAACATTTTTCAATGCATGAAAATTCAAACAAAGGAAGAATTCGTTGAATTCAAAAATATTTGTTCTCCTTCTAAAAAACCTTCCAAAACATTTCTCGAAATCTTTCCATTTGTATCTTCTTTCATTTCCCACATTGTTTTTGTATTTTTCATTTTTCTTATTCCCGCCATATTTTAGTAGCATTTCATTTTTTTTTTTGAAATGAAAAAAGAAGAATAAAAAAGCAAAGAAAAAAGTTGCCTGCTGCTGGAATCGAACCAGCGTCGCCACGGCCACAACGTGGAGTACTAACCACTATACTAAGCAGGCCGAAAGAGAAACGAGTAGACGGCAAATATATTCCAACTGCTTGTGACCCTTAGAGAATAGAGACGGAGGAGAGAAGAAAAGGTAAGTAAGAAGAAAAAAGGAGAAGAGGGAAAATAAGAGATTATGAAATAAAAGAAATTTATAAGAAAAAAAATACAAGATTAAATACAAGTATAATTTGAAAAATTAGGAATAATCCTTCGTTTTCCTAACTTCGCCGTACGTTTTGAGTCTAATTTTGTCAAAATCTAAGCACTTGAAGGTGGAAATTCGCTTCTCAAAAAATCTCAATTTTACATTTTGATTTTATTGTTTCAACACTCTTTACAATTTTAAAAAGTGGTTTCCGTAACTGAATAGTTTCCTTTTCTTAGAACGATTTGTTTCCAAACAATTCTGTCCGAAAAAATATCACAAAACTTTTATGAAAGATTGTCAACTTTTTGAACTAAAAAAAATATTTTAGAATTTTAAAAATTTAAAAATTTAGATTTTTTGAACGGAATAATTGTTTTGTTCACAGAATATGTAATTTTTATACCGCCCCTGACAGAAACCCATCCAAATGGTCTACTTTAAGCTCAATTTTCTCCGTTTTTGCGAAAGATATAAAAAGATTTTTTACTACGAAATTATTCATCATATACTACTATTATTTTATTTGTTGACAGATTCTCCGTATTTTTCACAAAAATTGAGAATAAATGGCTCAAAGTTGAGAGTTAAGTAGTCACCTATCATTTTTCATGAATTTACAAGGGAACCTCAACACCTCACAAGCCCAGATTTTGATGAAAATTTCAGGATAGGTGTTAACAATAGGCTATCCAGACATCTCTGAAAATTTTAGAATCCGCCCGAAAAGTTTCAGCGAGTTACATCAGTTTTAGTACCAAAAATCGCCGGTTTAGTGCAAAATCAACATTTTCAAAGACGATTTTCACAAGTGCTAGTATGTTTCAAAGCATGAAATGTGTTGTGTCATACTTAAAATTCAATGAAATTTGATTTTTAAAACTTGTTCTCAGAAAAATATGTGTTTTCAATTTCCGAAAAAAACTGGACAATCGGGAAAAATTCGTATATGAAAAGTTTTTTGCTCTTGAGAAAAAGTCTGAAATATCACATTTAATATAAATTTGAGTATAACACAACAAATTTCCTTCTTAAAACGACCTAGAACTTGAGAAAATCGTCTTTGAAAACGCTGATTTTGCACTAAAACGTCGATTTTTGGTACTGAAAATGATATAACTCGGCTAAACCTGGAGGGCGGATTTTAAACTTTTCGGAGGTGCTTATTGTTGACTTGTTCTGAAATTTTCATCAATATCTGGGTTTGTGAGGTGTTGAGGTTCCCTTGTTAGTGAAAAAATGTTTTTTTCTTATTTATTATTCACTCAGCTCCATTGATTTATCTACGTGAAAATAGCTTGAAGCCTGAATTGACTTATACATATCTTCAAAATTTTCAACTCAACGATATTTTACATCATTCTCGTTTCAAACTTTCTAGGGTTCATGCAAAACTTAATTTTGCAGTTGTGAGCCTTTGATTTTACTGAAATGAAAATTTTCCCAGCAGTCGAAAAAATTCAAAGAAGACTCAATCCAATTTCCGTGTGTGGCGTGCATAGGTTTTTTTCAAGTTTCTCAATTTCCGTCGTCACTTCTCGAAAATTCATTTCTCTTTGTTTTCAACGAACTTCTGCTGCTTTTCCTCTTATACGGGCCGTATTGGATATGGAGGCCCATCATCTAGTGACGTAGGCCACACAAGAATCATGAAAGTTGACGCTACCGCCCCCTAATTCCATTATGTACCTCTTCTTCTTCTTCTGCTTCTTCTTCTTCTTCTTCGTCTTCTCCTCCCTTCTTCGAACCTTCACAAAAATACTCGTGATGCGCGTGTCTCTGATCTTCCACGCCCGCCTTCCTCCCAAAAATTGAATTACCTTCTGGCAAAACTGAAGCATCAGCGTTGTCTAAAATTTGGAGACTGAACAAAGCCACTATTTTGTTACTTTTAAATCTTTCTTCTCCCTTTTTTATCTGCTTCCTCTCAGACTATATTTTCTTTATTTGCGGACCACATGAGTCTCACTTATAGGAATTCGAGTCAGGACTTTCTGTTTTCCTTTTTTTCAGAAGTTCGATCTCTGAAATAGTTGTGGAATAATTAGGCTTGTCCTCCCCGGGAAAAAAACCCGAAAACCTTCTGAGCTCGTTGGACTTCATTCCTTGTTCTTCTAATTAGGTCCCCCAACAAAAATGCATGTCTAAAAAGGTAGTACATGTGAGAGAAGGGAGAAAGTGACAGAAAATGTTCGAAACTTGTTCGAAAGGCGACGACGTAGTATATCTGCTGAG